GAAGCATCGACGTGGTGTGGTATGAAAAATAAAGCAAAACTCAGCCATTTACTTGCCAAATCTAAGTCTTTATTTACTTGCCAAATTCAAAATCAAATAGTGATTACCATACCACTAACATGTTTTTATTATGAACAAGCGTTCTAAGCGATTTTGATTGTTATATTTTATTGGATTAATCATTAGGTCAATTAGACTCCAATTATCTTTATCTTCTAGGTAAAATAATATCTTTGTTTATTTTAATAATATTTTTCATATTGCCGTAGGGATTTTTTTTATCTTAAAAGTGATTTGTGGTATAAAATAATTTGTTTAAAGAAATTGTGAAATTGTTGTTGAACCCCAAACAGTTCATCTGTATCTACCTATATTTTGTAAATTCTGCCCAAATGAAAAATAAAGTTTGTACGGTTTTGTGTAGTTTTTAAATTGCACCGTGTTGTTTTTACAATTACACTTTTTATACTATGATAAAAGAGAAAAGGTTGTTATTAAATAGGTTGTTCACCGACGAAACAAGAGACTCGTAGTAAAATAAAAGACAAACATTTGATAAGGAACTCCAGTGTTTTGTTGGGACTTCGTCCTAGTCAAAACGTTTTCTTTTAATTAACTCTGGAAATAAAAAAATAAAGTCACCGCTCTGTAAGTAGTTGACATTTGTTTAAAATACAATCTAGTTTTCGAATGAATGGACAAAAATAGTTTTTACGCCACACTACATTATTTTGACGAACTTCCCACGCAAGGATTTAGTCCAGAAAACAGCTGCTTGCCGCCAGCTTATTCAAATGGGGTTTCATTGCATACTACTGTACTGTAATGAGTTTTACGCCATACTACACTGTTTTAACGAACTTCCCACGCAAGTATTTAGTCCAGAAAACAGCTGTTTGCCGCCAGCTTAATCAAATGGGGTTTCATTGCGTACTACTGTTATGCAATGAGTTTTACCGGACACCAATCAGCTGATTATACTGTATTTGGGTGGCAATGAGTGGTTGTAGACAAAAACATAACCTCGCTTAGAGGTTATGACTAGTGATTTTTAGTCCTTTAGTTTGTGGTAATATATAAGGATTTGTAGAGATTTAGTAGTATGGCGTAAACTATCGTACGTAACTCGTCCAAAATGTGTTTACCGGACTCGTATGGTAATCCCGTACTCGACTTCGTCTCGCACGGGAACGACCACACTCGTCCGGTAAACACTTATTTTCAGGACTAGTAACGTAATATACTATTATCGGACACCAATCAGCTGATTGTACTGTATTTAGGTGGTAATGAATGGTTATAAACAAAAACATAACCACTCTTAGAGGTTATGACTAGTGATTTTTAGTCCTTTAGTTGGTGAAAATATATTAGGATTCGTACAGATTTAGTAGTATGGCGTAAACTATCGTACGTAGCTCGTCAACCACACTCGTCCGGTAAACACTTATTTTCAGGACTAGTAACGTAATATACTATTTTAGATTATGTCCAATAGGCTTACAAAAAAAATTTGATAAATAAACTGGATAGTCAATGCAGTTTTTAGATTTTAAACGAAAATATTCAATATTTAATTAATTTATCTATTTTATGAATCTAATAATGTGTTTATAAAATAGATACATCGACATGCCTGTTTCATTCCTACGAACCTTTTAAACGATTCTTCCATTAAAACAAACAAATGATGTTTCTAAAAATAGTTCTCTAAGAACTACAAAGTATAATTATGACATTTTTAAGGAGATATCATAGTGAAAATACAATCAGACAAAGGGTAAATCTCTTAGTCTACAGGTTTGCTATGGCGGCGATATTGTAAGTATAAATAGTACGTATTGCTCAAATGAATTTGCCATCATAACATTAACATTTAACATCATAAAAAAAAATAATAAAAAACTAGAATTTTTAATATTGCAGAATAAATATTATGTTTACAACAAAAGTGTAAAGACAAAAAAGATAGCATATAAAAATATCTTTCAATAAAAAAAATCATCCAGATCCATTCTACGGTATGCAAGATATACGCATTTATTTATTTAAAAAATGCCCTAGCCTCCATCTTGATGACATCAAGGGTCTTCATTATCTTCCAAATGACGACTGCCCAAGACTGAGGCGGACTGACTAGGTACTTCCCAAGACCGAAGCAGACTCAAGTTCGGTCCTTACTCTCAGCATACGCTTCTGACGTTCTAGTTCTCTTGCTTCAGCTTGACGTTGTCGTTCCATTTCCCTCTCCTCTCTTTATTTTTCTTTAGCCTCGAATTCTCTTTGGCATTGCATTTCTTTTTCTTTCTGTACTTTTCAAGTTTGTTCATTTCTTCAATTTCTTCTAGTTGTAATTGAAGCAATCCAGTAATCGACGATTGCTGGAAGTTGAAGATGTGGTTTTTGTCTTAGTAGGGGGTTTTGGAGGTTGACTATCTCTTTCTATGAGTTCATCATTCTTGTCATTTACAATTTCAGGGGAATATCTATTTAGAGAGTGTTTCTCTCTCCCTGACTTTCGGATTGACATATTTCTTGACGTAATTTATAAGTCGGGTTTCGGCACCAATGTTAAAAATATCCAATGCAGACAAGACTTTAAAAAGGACAAAAATGAATAGACTTGACAAAAAAGATGTGTATTTAAATTGGATAATGTTTACGAAATCATAATAAAACATATGTTATTTATTAATCAGAAAGATTAAGGCAGGCAATAAGTTATAACAGAGCTATTGACATTGCAATAAAAAACACATGTCAATATCTTCCATGTATCAGCATACCTCCTAAACCTATCAGCAAGTACTCCCTAAAATAATGTTAATAAAATAGGAAATAAATCTGAAAATTGTTAGGGAATATTTTAGTAGAAATCCAGCCAAGTAATTGAAATTCACTTAGTCTGCAGGTTTGCTGTGGTGGGGGTATTTAGACAATATAAGCGTATATTCATTTAGAGCACATCAATACAATAATTCCCTTGTGATGTTATACCGACGAAACCGTATATCCTACTGTCGCTGAATAGGGATGAACTGTGACGGTCAAACTTGATTGAGTCACAATATAGTGATTGTTTTTACAGTGGTTCATTTTTTATACCGTTCTCATATTTTATTTCCCATTGTACCGTTAAATTGGTATCTTTTGACACGGTGGTCTGAAGCAAGTATATATCGCTTGAAATAATTTCTTTAAAATATTTATTTTATTACCTTTGATTGCGTTTATTATTTAGTTCGTGTCTATCTTAGTCAATAGTTCATAAAGCAATTACTTTTCCAGACCTATTACAGTCAGTTCTGTCAAGTCTACACTTATGTCAGACGTAAAATAAAATAAAAATGCAATGTACTTATTATAAGAATATTGTTTTAGGATTTACGCCAAAACTATGCATGAACGTTGAGAATTGTTGTTGTAGTAATATTTTAAGGGATTGTGCCAACTGTGAATATGTATATGGGGATTCATGGTTCCGGACTGAGTTATGCTTATCTTTATTCCATTGTTAATGCCACTTCCTATCATTGATCAACTAAAAGTTTCAAGAAAATCAACAAAAGGATTTTTAAACTTTTAAATACAATTTAAAATAACCAAACATAAATATAAATGACACAACATAGGTTTTTTTCAGTTTAATGACATTCCCTCATAATATAATTCCCTCATAAAGTTCTTTGTGGATGACATTTATATCATTTCTATAAATCGTATTGATTTGGTTCTACTTATATTTAAAACCTAACTTCATTAAGAATTAACTGTAAATTACATATCAGAATAAGCAAGATTAAGTGTGAAGGCCTAACCGGACATATGTATTAAATTGTACATAATTGCAACTGTGCCGTCACTGACAGTGAGATTAAAAACAAACACAATCATCAAACCCATCAGCTTCAATAAAACAAATCCATCAGCTTTACTTTAGCATGACTAGTGCTGTAATCATGGACTATTGCGGATGATACTCTCCAGATATCTGAATTCAAAAAATAATTATGTCAGTAACAATTATGTGTTTAAATTAGTTTTCGATAAAATTAAATTGTCAATTATTTAATTGTTTAAGGAATTTGATATATTTAGGATGGATATTTTCGTCCTTGTAATAAGAATAGACTAAGATAAAATGTTGCACAAATTTTTTCTTTGCGTGAGTTCATTATCTATCTTTTATTGTACATTTTGGTTTATTGTTATGGCTTCCATTACTCTTCCATTGTAGAAGAATTTTTTTTTAAGTTAAAGCATATTGAGTATATAGGCAGCTTAGATTTTTATCTGTGTTGAATTCGAAAAGTTATTCACGCAAAATACGACGATAGCAGGGGAGAATAGTCTTTTATTATTTTTTATGAATAATGTTTCCACTATCAAACCTGCATTACATTATCCTGGCATGCAGTGAGTAATTTATGTAGACTTATTATCAAAACAAAGCGTGATAACCGTTGTTAAACATCAAACATAGAGGTCAATGTTATGAGAGTCAATACTGATAACGGGTGGATTGCATTCTTAGATCGTAATAATTTAGAGATCAATATGTACAAACTGGCACAGCGACTGCTGTTTATGATAGCTATTTCTGTGGTCGTGCACTACGATTTTTGAAAAAAATGACAAAGTAGGATTTCCTCAAGAACACACATATCACTATGTAAAGACAAATGTTTGAAATGTTTTGCATTGAGTTAAACTTGTAAACTACCTTAACTCCTACACTCACCTACAATCAAGGTATTTCTATTTGTAAGAGAGTAGGCAGTAAAAATCAATTACTTAGATAAGGTAAATAAATTTAGGTTAAGTATATACAACATCAACAGTCCAAGGTCACTTGACATGACAGAAGAAATATTTGTAATGAGTTATAAAAGTTCTCAGGGTTTATTAATATGGACATCAATAATTAACTCTACTTCATCTGGAGACAAAAGTTTGAAATCAATTATTTAGCATAGAAAGTGATTTGTCTGAAGTGAAAGTGAAAGTCAGACATATAGTACTGTTTGTAAGTGTTAAACCATATATTTTAAACATTTTCATGAATAACGTTGACTCTAACGTATGGCTTTGTGTATTAAGTAGCAAAAAACATATATTTCACATAATATGTTTATTCTAACTTAATACCAGCCTAATCGTATCTTAAGTGCTTAGTTATTTCAATAAGACAGTTTTAAAAACTAAAATTATAAAATAAAAATAATATTTCAACTACCCATAATATTTTCAGACAAACATCGACTGTACTTCATTTTATCAAAATGTAACTTATGTGAAACCATCACTTGCCAAAAGATAATTCAAGTTACAAATAGTAAGACTTCACAGGGAATTCCATTATGAATGTAAGTAATTATTACATATTATTCCATACATCTACTTACGTAAGTTTTTGTATGCATGACTTAAAAGCAGCTTCAAATATTGAACGAATGGTACCAACTACCAACCAAAAGTAATTTAAAGTATATCTGGCTAAAAGATCTGTATACGATATAATTAAAATATAAAACATTTAGGATTCTTTTCCAAAAATATCGATTTTTGATATCGCAAACTGACACTAGCTCTATAACTTCATTTAAGTTGTATAGTCGAGCTTAGATGCCCCTTAGCCTTGCTACAAAATCGTAGTTGTTTGATGTATGAACCATTGTCTGAGTTCAGTACTACAGTCAAATGGCTGTTTCAAACTGGAGGATACATAAATTTACATCAGTAGTACTTAAAATACATTAGTAGTAGTTCAAAATAAATATCATTCTCACTGAGAGAGAGAGAGAGTTTCACTGATTAAAAAAATACCTTCCACGACCCCAAGGCATAATACTTTCGTATTTCCTCAGAAGGAGATCCCTCCTGAAGAGCTCAATGAGCTAAAGACCCCCACGGTGGAGTACACGGTGGTAAGCCGAGCCGGTTGGGGCGCGCAGGAGTCCAAGAGTAGCCTCAAACCTCTCAAACATCCTATCAAGAACATCTTGATGGCATTTAACACGAACGTGGAGGATTGTACCACAAAAGATGAGTGTAAAGAGCGCATGCGCCAGCTGCAACAAATGCACTTGGATAAGGGCCTCCCGGATATGCACTACAAGTAAGTGAGCTAAAATTTGAAGTATATACAACGAAAACACTGATAGCTTTGCATTGTTACAATGTAACAGAGAGATTAAATGAGAAGTAGCAACTTCCTAATACAATTTTGATGTTTATTTGTTTTCACGTCCAGTGCCTTTGGATGACTGAGATCTGTCATCGCATGCTGATTGGTTCCTGGAATCTGGAACCCAATTTCAGCTGTCTCTAGTAGACATTTCTGAATTTCGATATGACTAATCAAAGTCATTTTAAACTTAATTGAGGTATAATTAATAAATATACATAGTCTCTGTGAAAATTTTGAAAAGTAGGGCACTCTTGACATTGTGGATTGCTAAATTCTTCCACTGTCACACAGAGTTTGTAAAAGCGAGTCGAACGCTCGTACTGCCCAGTGAATGCTGGAATCTCGTAATGAACACGTTCCACGCAAATCACATTTACTGTTGTCTCATGGTGGTCTTCGGACCTATCCATGACTGAAGAGACTAAAATAAAGTCGAAACAACAGAGCACACTTCTAATCCTGAAAGATGGATTAGTCGTATTGGACATAGCGCAGGCTCAATCAAATTTCGAATCTACAAACCACACACGAACATGGATCGTACACACCCGAGACGGTACGTGTGACAATCTCAATGCTCGGAGAGGTTGAGATTTTGGTTTTGTAATTTGAAAGAACATTCAAAAGAATGTAATTGAAAATTGGCAAGGGATTCGTCCCATTTACCTTCAAAAAGATTAACCTGTAATGAAGCGCTTGTCTTATCCCCTCACAATAACGCGTAACCGGGTTTTAGACGTAGGGCAGATGCTGATCTTAATTGCAGCTATCAACCACGAAAGCTATATGCTGTGGGAACCCTCACGATCGCCGGATAGGCAGATGCCGCCCACACGAATTGTGTAGAAGAGCCTAAACGTGCTACTGTTTGATGATATCAGTGATTCTAAAATTGCAGTCTGATTGAGAAGACTGACCAGCTCCGCTGGATTTGCAACTACATCACCTGTCACAATCACTTTAACCAATTAATAATTTTGAGTGACTTCCTAATACAGTCACACATTTCTCTTGAAATCCATCTGTTTGGTCAACATTAATTTAGATACAATTATGAGACATTAAAAATGAGTTTTGGTAATACCCTGATTAATTTGGAATCACTCTCTGTATTTCCACTATTATTCATTTTCCACTACTATTCATTTTTCAACTATTACTTTTTGCACATGTATAAATATTAGGTATCCTCATTTTGTTTGACAATTCCATAATAGTTTTAGGTGATAAAATCTTTAGTTATCAATGTAATATGTTTTGATTTGTAAGTGTAAGTTAATTTCTTTTTTACACTTCTGTATTGTTATATAATTTGTGTTTTTCACTTATTAAAAGTAAATTTTAGATTTTCATAGTCCACAACTCTGTACATGTATATGTTGTTTGTATATTTGTTGTTCCTGTCCTGGGGGAAGAGTGGACCTTTGGTCTAACTCAGGGCAGGTTAAATAAAGAATTTGTCATTGTCTGTAAAAGAGTTTTTTTTCAAATTGGTACCACGAACCTCATAGGGTACCTGTATCAAGAGCATCCTTATAGCTCTTCATATAATTTTGCAGGATTTTTAACGAAAATAATACTTTTTCTAGAGTAGAGTATTATTATTTTAAGTTGATACTAATGCGAAACATAATTCAAAAAGTTGTATTTTTAATTGGTCAATATCTTTATACGAGTAGACATAATTTGTGAAAACTCGAGCAATGTGATACTTTTACCAATTACGTATCCACAACTACAGCATATGCCGATCTAAGGACTTACTTTTACTTGCTTTATTTCTAATCAAATTACCAGTTTCACAGTGGGAGGTGACGGCAACATCTATGAAGGAAGAGGATGGAATTATCAGCCCGAGCCTTTTAAAGAAAATTCCCAGTTTGACGAAACCAGCATCTGCGTCGGCGTCTTAGGAGATTCCAATGGTAACCTATAGTTAATTGTTTAAGTAAAAAAATTGGAAACAGAACATCTATAAACCACATACAGATTACAGTAGACGAACTTTAGTTCTGGTCCGTTTTCCGGATTTATTAGTACAGGTAGTCATTTCCTAATGACTCAATACTTTCATACAAGCACCAAATTGCTTTAAGCATATAGAGACCTAATCGAATGGGTAAGTGGCAAGGTTGCCAAGGACCTCAGGAGTCATATTAATAAAGTCACAATCCAGTCAGCCCTGATCAGCCGTATCAACCTGCTGTGTGAAATTAGTACAACAAACCGGCACCTTTGCGGATGTTATTGGTGTATATGTACATTGTTTGGATTCAAACTGTACTTTAATGATTTTTACCTACGACCGTTTTTTAAAGTAGCCGTTTCAGTACAGTTCTTAGAATTGAAAAATATCTCATAACAGCATTGTTTACATCCATAACAGCATAGTTTTACTCATAACAACACGGGTAACGGACCAATGAGGTTCAAGGATTGAGAGAGGAGAAGCAAAATTGTAATGATTCGAAATTCAACTAATCAGCTGTTCAGGCCAATTTAATTGTTGATTGGTGCAATTAGTATTTGATACAATGTTTCGTTGCGAGAATGTCAGGGGCAATTAGAGGTTATAAACAAAAACATAACCTCTCTTAGAAGTTATGAGTAGTGATTTTTAGTAATTAAAACACCGTCGTAGGTAAAGTAGTGTATGCAACTAGCGTAAATAGTGTTAACGACACTCGTAGAAGTTTTTAAGGCACTCGCCAAGGCTCGTACCTTAAAACTCGTGTCGTTAACACTATCTTTACGCAATCGTTGCGTAAACTACTATTCACACATAGTGTGTGATTTTGTTACCGACACATTCATTGTTTTATTTATTTCTTAAGGTCCATATTGTTTTTGTTTGGACAAAGATCGGGCCAAGAGATGTCTAAATGAGTGTTACCTTTGACTAGTAATACAACAACTAGACATTCCACCCCCATGTTAAAGTTGTAGCCAGATTTTTTTTTTAAAGTGTCTTAGTTGAAGTGAAACACCTACAGATTGCGCTGATCTAAATTACTCATTTCTGCCAATTACACGATGTTTTTTACCAAGTCAAACTGATGGATTGACTTATTATGAGCTTCTGTATCCAATAGTCAATGGTAGTACTTAACTTTTTACTGTATATTGGCTACTTATTTTAGGCTTTTCTTTAATTAATGACGGAGGGCGGACTGGTTCAGATTCGATACACTGATATTGATATTAAAATATCGCTGTGCATTAGCTCACGATATACGAACAAAATCAGGCATGGAAAATTGCTGACACCAAAATTTACTGCCATCTGATAATGTTAATACAGGTATCAACAAATATTTATAGACTAAAACACTGCGGACATATCTATACAACGTCAGGGAAAATGTGCAAGGGACATGCCATGGGTATTATTTAGCCTATAACTCGCATGTAAAGAATTTTAAAAAAATATTAGTAAATTATCTAGCTGATAAAAGTAAATATGTTAATTTAAAAACGACATTATAAGAAAACCAGTTATAAATACTTTTGACATCCCCAAAGCACACCGTTTTAAAAATAATCTGTATAAAATAACTATTAATTATTTAACTAAATCAAAGTTATTATATTTTCAATAACCATAATATTTATTGAATTTTTACTGGCAAATCTGTAGTTTTAAATATAAAATTATATTATTTTCTAACAATACTATGTCAATTTATAATACAAATAGAGAGATATAACGACCAAGAAACGGCATTACTGTTCTGAAAATCATTTATCCAAAATCAAACACTTTCTACACCACATTTATAATTTTTACACATTATGATGAACGTATTTCAAAATATTTATTTTGTTTTGGCAGACCCAGACCCAGAAAACCCGTTCCCGCCGTTGATTCACGCTTTATACCTGGCAAACTACGGAGTGGAACAAAAGTTTATGGAAGATCCGTACGAGTTTGCTGAAGATGAGCAGAAGTTTGACAGTTAAACGCTGGAAATATAAGTAGTACATTGTAATATGTATATATATGCATCGACTTTTATTCTTCAGGGAATCGAATCTAATATTTTATGATTCCAATAATATTTAATTACTTTTGGAACTTAAAAGTATAAGCTTATGAACTAGTTTGTCCCTTTATAGATAAAACACTTGCTCGAAATTTATTCTGTTATAATTAGTTTAATAAAAGTACATTATTTATTTAATATTTAGTTGGTTTTTGTATTTGTTTGTAGTTCGTCCTGTCTATATATACAGTTGGTGATAGATGTAAACTTAATTTTTTATTATTAGAAAAAATTAACGTCTCAATCTACTAATTTTTGGATCTTTGGTTTATAAATTTAGTTGAATTATAAATAAACATATGGTTGAATACAGAGTTAATAGTCCATAGAGGCAAGTGGCCATCTTGGATGATTTCAAACAGCTACTGAAGAGTTCTTTATTATCCAAAAATAATTTGTCAAACACCAAAGAGATCATAATTTAAATATCTAGGACACTGCGAGATTATAAATTTCACTTGCAGTTTCGAATTGTTGTCCAGAGGAGTCAATGGAGACTAAAAGTCATTTGCCCAACATAAGAGCAATGTTAATTTCAAACAGACGCTGAGGAGTTATTTATAATATCGAAATAGTTTTTCAGATACCAAACTGATTGTAATTTTAATATCTAGTGCACTGTGAAATTAGAAATTTCCTTTGTAGTTGTTTTATGAGCTAGAACATCTAAGCTGCAAGGAGACATATTAAAAATTCGTTTGGTCTAAGGCGTCTCCGGCCAGGAGGCAGCACTTTCCGTTCCCGTCTGGTCTTGTGTGCATCTCATGACGTGTTAAAATATGTGCAAAGATAGATGAAAGAGACCCATCTAAAATAATTTAATGGTAGACAACTCAGTTGAAAGTTAAAGCTTAATTAAAAGCTAAGTTAAATTAAATTAAAGCTTAAGTTAATTCCAAATAATACCCCAAATTAAGCATGTTGCTCCTTTTCCTAACCCACAAATAATTGTTGGATAATTTTTTTTTTAAATAATATTATCTTATGAGTTTATAAATGATAATAACAATGAGTAAAATAAATTACTAAATAATCTATGGAGTTTTGAGGGCTTAAATTAACGAATTAGTTTTAAGTATATCTTATTATGTGAACTCTAATAAGAGGTAGCACTTTTTGAGTGGATCCTGAATGTTGATGTTGGTAATTTTATTCTTATATACTAATATTGTTTCAGCGTTTCCAAAACTGAGATGGTCATCCCAAATACGGGATTTAAAATTTTTCGTGGAAATAGTTAAAAAACACGGGGTGGGGGATAATAAAAGGTGATAAAAGGTATGACATTGCGGAAGATGCATTAACATTTTGTTTGCATTATAGAGTAAGTTTTATAGAACCTAAAAAATTGGGTTGCTTCTGTTAAATGTTACACGGTCAGATTGTATTTCACATGTTCATCAAAGCTAGAAAAAATCGTTATGTTGTGCTTTGTAATTTACAACTCAACAGATAACAAATACTCTTACATCAATCATTAAAACTACTTTACTTATTTTCACATTCCAACAAGAATTGAGCTTGGTTTACAGTGACAGGTATTATTGTTTTCAATTTAATATAATGGATGGGCCTAAACTAAATTTAAACAACCTTCCACCAAATATTGATGCGAAAGACGTCCTTGCAAGTTTGAAATCGCTAGCTGGTAATTATGTTTTTGATTGATAATTTGGTCTTAATTATATTATTTTGTTACGGAAGCAAGGTTTTTGTGTCCATACAAACTGCTTCGCTAAGGAAGTTGATAAAATAAATACTGTTTTGTTGCTAACTGTTAATGTTTTCTGTTTTACTATTCTCTAGCAATGTTATGGAACAAAGTAATGTAAAAGCTATGTTAATTGTTCTACTAAACTAATATTTCGACTTTATTTACAGAAAGTAATTGAGTTTATTCAGTGGTTGATACATCTTTCAGAGTATATTTTAGACTATATTGTGTTGGCTAATAAATTAATATTTAACAATATTATGTCATGTGATGGAAACATAACATTCAAATAGCTAAATTTTTAATTTCATGTTTTTTTTTTCAAGTATAGATCTACTTCCTCACTGAAAAAACTACATTCAATTTTTAAATTTTTTCAGATCTTACTATTAAGATTGTACGGCTAGTTTTAACTTTAAAAATGTGGTTGCATGTTACTAAGATCTATTTAAAATAAACATGCCTATGAAAAATACAAATTAGATTTAAGACACGTTCGCTACTGAGCGTCGCATATATGCGACGCCGCGGTCATTGCCACAGACTGAGGTATACATTTTAATCTTACACATAGACCGGCTGTCACTTGGTTAACAGTACACACAGACCACGGGTGAAAACCTGTAAAACAGTGATCATTTACACTGTAATGTGCTACAATCGTGTTTGTAAATAATTTATTCTTGTTTTTTTGTATTTTTTATAACCTTTAGTAATGTCACATATTTGCAACGCCTGGTTTACAGCAAAGACAATAGTGAAAATTATAATAATTTTCTTGAAATAGACCAAACGTCGCATATATGCGACAGTTCATTTTTGTTGTGTTTTGAGGTAAAAGTAAGTAAAACAAAACAGATTATTCAAGAACAGATTATAACTGAACAAATATAAAAGCTACAGAGGATAATGCAGCATAAATACTGCATACATACATACAGTGTTGCAGAAAAGTAAAGACCAGTTTTTCCAACTATCATATGACGTCACTAATCATCATATCCACAGACCAAGCGACGCAGTTGTGCGTCAGACATCTCTGTAGATCACTGCAGGGAATTCAGTGCCTTCAAATAGACCGTTACAAAGATATAATAACATTAATAACATTAATAACATGCATTTTAATAACATTAGAACCCCGACGCAAATATGCGTCGTCAGTCTATTTTAATGTGACTAGCCGTCGCATATATGCGACGGCAGTCTATGGGTGGAAATCGGCCGTCGCATATGTGCGTCGCTGGTCCATGTGAATGAAAAATTTCGTACTATTGCAGTAGCGAACGTGTTAAAGTTAAAATGTAGATGCAGGTTAGAAATAAAACTCACAAAAGTGTAAATGGCATATTAAACTCGACATAAGGTAGCCTTGATATTCGTGCCTCGCTTAGCAACCATTCTCTGATAATATTCATGTTATTGTACCAATACTATTGTACTCTAGTATTTCAATCTTAGGAAACTGATGTAGAGGTTAGTCCCCAGACAATCTTTCCTGAGGAAGGAATCAAGTTTCGTCTGTATTAACTATGTAATACAAGTCGAGGGTTTGGGGTAACCTTAAGTTTCACCTTAAGTTCAGCCTTAAGTTTCACCGGCTTTTCAAAGATGCATTTCTGACCTTATCCACACATCTCAGTTTCGGGCTATTCATCCAGCTAAACGTTCTGCCATTATTGCAAAAATGTTAGGCCCCTGCCTAATACTGACATGTCCTGCCCATCTCCGTCATAATGATTTCCTTCTGCTATATTTGTCTCTTAACTTTAGCTCCTGATTGTTCCTTATTCTCCATTCATGTTCTTTGCCTGGACCATGCACTATTCATTTGATTTGAAATTAATCTTACATCAACTACTAGAATGCAAACAATTCGTTGGCAGGGTCACAGGAACGGGCGAGGGACGAGGTCGGACACAGAATCACTCTCATCCCCCGCAGTAAATGGGGGGCGTTACCCCCCTCCAGTACGACCCCCCTCCCTAACCCCATCAACACAGTGGTGTTCGCCTACAACACTGAGCAGCCTGTGTGCACCACAGAGGAAGAATGCTGTGCGGCGATGAAGCAGATGCAGCTTAAGCACATGCAGAAGGGGCTGTCCGATATATATTACAAGTAAACCAATAATTTTAAACTTAGGTTTTATATGCCAAGGAATGCGTCGAAACAAATTTCCCACTTGAGGATGAAAGAGAAAGAGTAAACTATAAAAAGGTTAACAGAGTCAAAATTGCTTTTAAGTCATTAAGTTAGACATCCTTTTCCTGTGTTAAGCCCACATTCAGATTACACTGATTTAAAAATTAAAGATTTATATCTAATACTTACATATAAGAATTCAAATTTTTGTTGAAAGGAGATCTTTATGTAAACTGTAGCTTTTATCAAAATTGCCATAGTTTTAACACTAAGGGGGGGGGGTAGTAAATTGTAACGATACAACCTTACAACACTCTATAAGAGGTGCATTAGTTATAATTTACCTAAATAAAAGCCCCTCCTACAGCTGGTTCATATAGTTTAGTTTCTAAAATGGTTATTCATTTTGTACTTCTGTAGCTGTCTACAATTTAAATTATTTTCACAATTTTATACCACTGTCATTAAGTTCACAATATCAAACATTTACAATTCGCAATGTGTATTAATGCTTAACCTAATTACCATTGCATATGTATAATTGGAAAACTATCTATTGTTTATATAACTATATATTATTATTATACTAGGTGAAACCCGTCGAAATCGACGGTTACTTTCAAGGCTTACGCTAATTCATCTAACTGTGATAAATTGAGTAAAATTATACATATTTTGAGCATTTAACATTGTTTAAAGAGTAAATAAGTGTAAAAACAATAATGATATTAATTGCGTTAGCTACCAAATATGGTTGATCATTCAACGAATAAAATATTTCCCATACTTTGGAAGAACCTTTAAACAGTATTAAAATCGTATTGGTGGATCTTTTTAGTTAAAAACTTCCCCGATCTCATCAGTGTAATAAGGATTAATCTATGATTTTATTTGAGAGAAAATATCTGCTTGTTGAGGAGACACGTTCTAACTTGAAAGGGAGGTCCTCACAGTGTAAGTTTGATTTTTCCTTCGACACGTCGCATCAGTTCATATCGTACTTCTGTGCCAATGAATTACCATCTAGTATAGTTTTAAGAAATTGGTTGTGGGGATATCGTACTTCTGTGCCAATGAATTACCCTCTAGTATAGTTTTGAGAAATCGGTTGTGGGTTTAATGTTAAAGCTAAAAGACACTTCTGCACTTGTATTATTTTGTATTGTATTACACAATCGAAGATTTTTCCAATGATTGAAAACATGTATGACAATAATCTCACGAACCTATGATGATCTGTCTAGAATAATATGATAAAATATAGCCAAAAGTGGTGAAAAATGCAGATACCAACCCGTACAATAGATATAAGATAGTTCAATAAGAAATTAATGTTAAATGAGAGTTACTGTGATAAAAGGATTTTCTACTGATTTCGTAATGGAACGTTATATTGCAAAATATGACATGATACAGAAGGAAATCAATTTTAAAATCAGAAAATAACATTGCAAATACTTCTTTTGGACAATTCAGTAACTCCCAATAAAAATATGTGTTGTTTAAAATACAATTCAAAAATTAACAGCTGTTTCATTAAAAAGTATTATCCACATGGACAAAATGTAAACAAATCTGTGGAGGGATCTTTAAGGGCTTCTGGGGCAGAGCCCTAACAGGATTCACTTAGTTTTTCTTTTGGTAACTCATCTAGAGACCAAGACCTTTCTTTGGACACCTCTACCAAGTTTCTACGCCCAGTCGTTCTCTCAAATTAATGGAGACAAAGTTTCCAATTAAATATTTAGATTCCCCCATGTTAATCTTATGGGAGAAAATCCAACTTTGATGGAATATCCTGTCCAAACTAATAAAGATTTCAAAAAACGAAAAAGACTTTGCAAAACTACAGATCAGGGCAATTCATTTGACACTTTAATCATCAAAATCGGTCCAAAAATGAGGGAGGAGTTCTGTTTACAAAAATCGGCTTAGCGTATTATATATATAGATATTGCCTATACATTATTTACTTTCGTAAATGTTGCAATTTATTTCCAAACGGTGGATTTCTCTTACTATATAATCATTTTAATTATCTATACTATTTCTATAAAAAATAAGACGTATTAGCCAATGGTAGGTAGGAAATATAGTAAGCACAAAATCCCACTTTACTGGATAGAACATAGTGGTGATGTCGCGTTCTCAAAATACTATATGTCTCGCCAAACTAACTAATGATTTTATTTAGTGCTTAGGATTATTAATAGACTAAGTTGAATATCAAACTAGACGATTTTTTACTCTTTTTATTGAATGATAATTTCATATTATGTGAATAGCAGTCATATTGATTTGTTTGGGGTTTTAAGACTATTTATTATATTTTAAATAGGTAATTAATTGTTAAGCTCTACATTAAAACCGTTTACAGTTTCTGTGTTGGCGGAGACAATGCTATGTATGAGGGTCGAGGGTGGACCACGCTACACTCAAAGGAGGCGACTTTCCTTAAGAGAAATCTACCCCTTGGCAACTGCCTGGTAATTGGAGTCATAGGAGATGGCAAAAGTAAGGATTTTCATGTTCTAGCTGGATTTTAAATTTACGGCGCGTATAGACGTTTATCTAATTGTAGTAAAATTGTACAGGAGAGGGTGATTCTTAAAATTGCCAATGGGTTATTGAGTAGTTTTGACTTAAGTTAAAATGAATAAACATTTTGATATTGGCTTACCTATATGAGGGTGCACAATCAAACCATCTGACACAATTAGTGAAATATACACGGTGTGGCACACCGACTACATTATCATTTAAATAATACCATAGTCTAACCAAATACCTAGTAGTAGGATCAAAAGACTAACACATTTGGCTCTAGGCCTTCGTATTTGTTTATATTTTTTTCTTTGCCTAAATAAGAGCAATTGAAAAAGGAATTTCATAAGTCTAGTAAAAAAACTAATACAAGCAAATTGATGTTTTGTATTTTGTAATTTCCTTTCGATACATGTACGTCTACTGACAACAATTTATTCTGTAGCCAAAGGTTTCCTAAATCCTCCGATTTATTATTGTAATTGCCTACTACATCTAGATAGGTATCAATTTGACTCCTACGTTTCCCGATATTACTTTGGGGATCTGTTAAAATGTAAGGTCAACAGACGCTGTCCAGGAATGAAGTCATCCAATAATGGTTCCTTCCTGGTTCGGTAAGTGCTCACATTACTCCACCTCACTGGCTGGAGTTTTTTTAGTGGCTGGTCCACCTCACTAATCATAAGCTTTTTAGTGGGCGTGAGTACCCGAATATTTGTGTGGTTCATGATGATTTTACCATAAAAAAAGTATTACAAGACTCACAAAATATTTTTTTTTCAGCTGACATCGATTGGAGGCCAGAGTACGAGTTAGTTGCACCAGCCATGAGGATGATAAACCAAGCTATCAAAGAAGGGAAGATCATAGAAACCCACAACACCATTGAGGAGAACGAGCTAATCAAGGAATGCAGTGGTTCTGGCTGCTAATGAACAGTGAATGATAGGGGACGAGCACTAAAGCCTGGGCTATGACTTAGATATGGGGAAATAAAAGACCTTAGTGGTGACAAATAGGAGAATAGTCTGATGGCTGATAGGGATGAGGTTTAAATAATGGTTTGTCTATTTTCCGGTTAGTGAGAGGGTTATTGAAAACAGTGAGTCCAGTTACTGACAGGGATGGATTGGGGTAAATAAAGTTGACTCCAGAAAGTGTCAGGGTAGACAACTCAAATTATGTTGATATTATTGGGATGATTGGAGTTTTAAGCTTAGGTGGTACAAGAATAGGGTGGTTTTTATAGGGTGACAAGAAGATAGAATACTTTATTAGGAGATTAGGTTAATGTCATAGGGAATAAGGAAATGTTTAACCATGTCTGTTTAATGATTTGGGGTTAGAGGAATTAGCGAGCTGAGAGCTTGTCTTCTGACAGGGTTTAGTTTATCAATATATTTGGGGTTTGAGCCTGGCTCGGTCGATAAGTACTATTTTAATAAGTGAAACTTGTGGTACTATGCCACCAGAAGCACTGTTATATTTTTAACGATTTTTTACATTTCACCAATACCGCTGCTCTTAAGAACGACTAACATCATTAAGTATAGGAGTCTCGGTCACTATTACACATGCAATGTTAGTGCTTAATGTAATCGTCATATTAAGTTAAAATTTTGATTTTCTTCATCTATAAACGTAAAAATACAAACTGAATTCATACCATTGAACACTATACAGGGTGAATAAAAAGTCAAGACCCCCCCTCTAATATTTTTCCAAGTAAATATACAGATTTATCCTTTAGGTGGTCGAGCAATCTTAGCAGGAAGTTTCATTTTATCATTTTGAAATTTTTTAGTGTCCCCCCGAAATGGGGGATTTGGGGGGCAACTCAAATATTTTAAATGTAAACCCCCTTCAAGTGACACCTCATTTTGAAGAGTTTACAAAAACTTAAAGAATGGTGAAAACTAGAGGTTTCTATCTCTTCTCTATCCAAAATGGTAGCCCGTCAAATGTTGTGGAAAATCAACGGTAAAATTTTTAATATTGGCTGCCATTTTGGATAGAGAAGAGATAGCGAGCTCTGGTTTTCACCATTCTTTAAGTTTTTGTAAACACTTCAAAATGAGGTGTCACTTGAAGGGGGTTTACATTTAAAAATTTTGAATGTCCCCCAAAAGGGGGGATTCGGGGGACAACTAAAAATGTTTCAATAGAAACCCCCTTCAAGGGACACCTCATTTTGAAGTGTTTATAAAAACTTAAAGAATGGTGAAAACCAGACCTCGCTATCTCTTCTCTATCCAAAATGGCAGCCAATATTAACAATTTTACCGTTGATTTTCCACAACATTTGACGGGCTACCATTTTGGATAGAGAAGAGATAGCGACCTCTAGTTTTCACCATTCTTTAAGTTTTTGTAAACTCTTCAAAATGAGGTGTCACTTGAAGGGGGTTTACTTTTAAAATATTTAAGTTACCCCCCAAATCCCCCCTTTTGGGGGGGCACTCAAAAATTTCAAAATGATAAAATGAAACTTCCTGCTAAGATTGCTTGACCGCCAAAAGGATATCTCTGTATATTTACTTGGAAAAATATTAGAGGGGGGGGTCTTGACTTTTTATTCACCCTGTATAATACATGTTACAAAGGCTCATACAGTGTTTAATAATTTGTAGTTCATTCTTAATATAGTGACTACCTCTGTTCAATTTAGCTTATACAGTAATATCAAAACATTATGGATGAAACATTAATTTAGCGTTGTAAATATAAAGAACAGTGTTTAATAGTTTTAACAATTCCTTCCACTTATTATTTTAATTTTGAAATTTAGAGTATTATAAATGGTTTTTACAAATGATAATTTTGATGGATAATCCACTAACAGCTTGTGGTAATTTTCAATAAAACAATTTGTAAAATGTTGTACCATTTTATATATAACATATTCACTGATGACATTATTGGTAAAATGGTCTATGGTTAGTGATTTTATTAAACATGATGGAACTCTCCTACTATTTATAATTTCTTTGCTCGTCCCGGTTTTATTTTATATATTTTTTTCTGTTATTCTGAGTACGACGTTTTCCTTTTCTGTGCTTTCCATCGTCATCTTTGTGATAGTTAATAAGGTTTATTTCTCTTGTATCATTTTCGTCGTAAGGTGCAATCTTTTCGTACATTTCATAAACAAGTTTCTTTTTCTCAAAGTACGGTACATCGTGTTCCATGTCACCACTGGCCACTAACCGTACGGTCGCAACACCGTAGGGCCATAGCCAGTCCCCGTCCTTATCTGGAAAATTAAGTAGGTCGAATGTCAAAAGGCTCTAAACAGTTTGCATTTAATAAAGGATATGAATCCATGTGAAATAAATCATGTTCTTAAAGTGTTATTTTTAGTTTTACGAATCACATTTAATTATACAGACACACGCGCACACACACATACTCATATACTCAACGTAAAAAAGTAAGACCGTGTAGGAAATTTACAGGAATGCCCAGATTAAACTAATAGTGATTGGTTTACTTTGTCGAAATGAATTGTCATTCTTTATAGAAGTTTGCTCTATTATGAATTTTGTATTCATATTAATTAAGTCCAGATATATTGGAAAAGTAATAGGACAAATATTTCATATAACAGAGCCAACACATGAGCCTGTTAGGATAATCAACACATTTTTAGAAAAAGGTTAAAGTGTAATGTTTTGTGTTTAAATAGGATAGTTTCTCGTTACTTAACGGAAGAATGTATCTCGTATCTAATGTCAATAGCGATTCAATGTAGAAACGTGGCTGTCTAGAAAGCTTAACATAGTTTAACATACAGCCGGCAAACTCCTTTTTTAGCGGTGTCTTTAGAACACAAAACAAAATTTAAACATTATTGCCACCAGGACTGATGTAGAATTATATGATAGGTTATATATCTTTTTTATTCCGTCGTCAGTCCTAAAATAGTCAAAGGGTGACTAGTTTCGGGTCAGAAATGACCCATTTTCAAACCCATTTTTCATCAAATTGATTGGTCAAAATCCGACAGACGATTGGTCTCAAATTGATCAAATTGATTGGTCTCATAACGAAGACTTCTGTCGGATTTTGACCAATCAATTTGATGAAAAATGAGTTTGAAAATGGGTCATTTCTGACCCGAAACTAGTCACCCGTTGACTATTTTAGGTCTGACGACGGAATAAAAAAGGTACGTAACCTATCATGTCACAAAACAAAAATCATCCCTTCCAAAAATGTTAGTGTTGCAGTTTTTACTTTACTCATGTTTATAAAAAAAATTTAATTCGGTGCTATTGAACAGATAATTCCAATAAAACCCTGAGCGCCTTTAGTTTAATAAATTAAGAAACAGGATTGAAACAAAACAAAATCAAAATGTGTTAAACATAGTATATATTTACAGTCAACCTGCCGTATTTAAAATGTTTTGAAGCGTTATAAAACTTTGACGATACTTTACAATAACACTAAAACCTGAGTCTTCTGAATATGACCTCATCACAAACATAAATGCGTTTTTAAGAGCAGACATTTTGGCCTAGTTTAAACTAATATCTTCAGAGTAGTTCACTGGAAAAGGTGCCAAGTGCTACCTCCCTGATGATCTGATCTGACTATGACTGTCTACATCAACGCCAAAAAGTCAAATCTTCAAAAAGTATTGCATATCCTATGTATGGCGGGATCATACCCGGAAGTCATAGTTTTTAGTGTTTCCGTTTTAGACGTTGTTTTTTCTCCTTTAGCCTCATTCTTTTAACTAATTCTCTTTTACTAGGGATCATTTTATCAGTATCCACAAGACCGTCTTTGGTAGTTGGGTCCATTAAACTTTCCAAAATTGTTTCGGATTTGCTATAATTGTATGGCCACATCGGTTGTTTGAGATTTTCTTCGTATGATAACACTTTTTCGAAATCATACTTCAACTTTCTTTTATCCGTTATCCATCCTTGACCACGACCGAACTTATCCCATTTCTTTAGGATCTTTTGGAAGGGTGGGTACCAATTCCCCTCTTCATCTGTAATGAATAGTTTTAATTATGTCAAGCTAATCAAATATATACTCTTTAAATGTCATTCTGACATTAAAAAAAAGTAGGTGGTATAATAAAGACAAATATTTATAGAATTTAATAACAGATTAAACAAACTGTAATTAAAAGAGGATGGTACATTTTTCCAGAGATGTTAACCGCTTTTTAATACTGTCATAAGGCCGGACAAGTCAAAACCAACGGAAACAGTAATGTAATTAGTATATGAAAAACGCATTAATATTTTCAACGGTCTTCTTTGAGACCTTACAAGGTGAAACGCAATAATACATATTTTGTGATCATCTAGGTTCTAAGTATTTCTTTACAAACATTGAACAAGTATAAAGTAAAATATTTACACATTTATATTTTTTCACTTGTCATCAAGCCTTTTTCAAAATCCACTTACAAAGATGCATCATATAGTTTAACTTTATGTTGTCATAAACATGTTTTTGTTAGTACGAACACCTGTTTAACCACAACTCGAATTTAGACCAAAAACTCAAATAAATTTATCAAATTAAATCGAGTGTTGCAGAGAAATACGTATTTAGTCAAAATTTACGTGTGTACATGAGGATTGATGTTCGAATGTAATAAATGCTGTTAAAATAAATAAAAAAATGAGATAAGCATATTGTTGTCAAATCTAGTTTTATATAGGTCTCTAATCTCAGCTTCTTGAATGAAAATCGAATCTGTCAAAAATTAGAGAAAGGGCTTAACCGCATATGCACTTTCCATTAAGTATTTCTTAAAAGGTGCTTTTTTGGGACTAACACACTTCTGAACGTAGTAACAATAAACAGGCGTACCTTTTCCTTTTCCAATGATTCCCACCACCAGAGTTCTGCCATAATACACCGAGTACCTCGCAGAATGCCACGCATGCCATCCTCTTCCTTCATATATTCTTCCGTCACCTCCTATGCAGAAACTAAACACATAACAGCTATAAATCGTCATGTAGACATAAGGGCTTAGGTATGTCTACCTTTAAATTTTAAAACTATTTAATTTCATAAGAAAATAGGTAAACACACTTTCCTTAACTATAGTAAAAGTGTTCAATCACGAAGATAAGAATGAATTAATGTGTTCTATACAAATACATGAAACATTTGTGCGATTTTTGTAATAGTACATTTATATGGTAGATATAAATTGAATAACTTCTTGATCAGCATTGTACGTGCTATTAAATTTACGGAAAGTAAATAAAAGATACGTCTTATAACACTTAAAACATATATTTACGCTTATACTGTTACTCACAAGATGGTAAATATAAAAAAATATGGTAAGTGGTTTTGTTTTAACCATTTTCCATCTTTTTCTATATTTACCGTCTTGTGGGTAACAGTATAAGCGTAAATATATGTTTAAAGTGTTATAACACGTATCTTTTATTCACTTTCCGTATATAAATTAAACAAAAGATTTAGTTTTTGTATAGTGTGAAAATTTACTATTCCTTTAAAATCTATTGCGTTTAATTTTTAGTTGGTGTTAATTTACTTTTTGAAGGCCCTTGAGGCAAATATATATCGTTAAAGTTTTGCTTTGGTGAGCGATACCTGTATATTTAAAGATAAATAAACACTACTCTATACTCTTTCCTTCACTCATATATTGGATTTAATACACTGATGCCACCCTCTAACTGCAATAAAAGAACCGATGAAAAAGTTGGTTAAGTTTTTTAATGGTTTTGAACTAAATAATACTTGAACTTACTTGTAGTATATATCAGGGTAGCCCAGATCCATGTGATAAGTCTGAAGGTCTTTCACAGCAGCTTTGCAGTCCTCTACGTTGGTGCAAGTGTCTTTCTCTGTATTGAAAGCGAACACCAAGGTCCTGATGGGTTTCTTTAGGAATTTCGTCTCCGTTGGGGGCACTGCCCCCCACTCATCTCGCCCAACCAACTTAAGTGGTTCCAACTCATCTGGATCTAGTATTTACCAAAGCGTGAGTGACTTAACGGTTAAAAAGTATGAAAGTATAATATACTTAGATGATTCATTGATTAAACATAATCCTTTTTCGCAGGATTAGCTAATAAAAAAACCTCAGGAATTCAAGGACTCATACTTAAAATATATTTGCAGTTTCATCCGACTGTTCAGGCATAGGCTAAATACGAATCCTGAGCTAAATACGAATGGCTACACCATTTATGTATTTTAGTATTGTTAAATGTCCGATTATAAAAACTCTTAACAATCAAAGACTCTGCTTTGTCTTTGTCTATGTAAAATAAAAGGATGTGCAATAGTTCAAAGTAGCAGTCATGTTTTAAGGTTATATATTTCATACCGAAAATGCATTAAAGTAACAGTTTTTACTAAACAGGGTGGACGTCAAAATAATCAGACCAGCTGTAACATATGTTTAAATGAAACGGAACATAGTGGAATGAACCTCTCTCATAGTGAGCTGCTGTCAAAGTTATATTTCTTCCCTTAAATTTTGGTAATGTGATATTTAGATGCTGTCTTCAAAATTGGGTAACTCTGCCGATGGCTGAACTCCAGTCAGTAATGAAATATACCTACAGTCATAGTTAGGAGTATGAAATACACCTACAGCATATACATGGAATCTTTCTAATTACAGTATAGTAAAGTGAGATCAAATTAGCAAAGCATGTTTCAAAGGTATGTGAGGAGTGATTGCTTGAAATAGATGGCGTTACAAAGGATTGGCCTGAAAACATTCATGGAGAAAGCACGATTAAATTGCTGGTCCTATAAAAAACCCTCAAAGAATCAAAGTCACTGTAATGGACTATATAAAACAGTTTCAAACAATTACCTGGTATACGTACTCCTCGAAACCACTGGTGAGGCATTGGGGTAATTTTTCTACAAGACTAAAACAATTTCATTTTAACATATTAAACAAAAATACGTATAACGTATAAAACATGTTGCTTTCAAATAAATTACCAGTATCTTAATGGGGTTCTCAATATTGACTTATCATTGTACTAGATAACGCTAGAAACTCTCACACTCCCGTAAAGATAAGTCTGCTTTGCTCGATATTCAAGATAGAATGTAACTGAAATGAGTGTGGTATGGAGTTGATATAACAAGACAAACAAAACAGGTAGTTCACTCAAAAACCTATTTTAAAAACTATTTTATTACTGTTTTAAGAATTAGTCTGTTTGGGTAAAACCATTAATTTTAACTTTACAATAGCTGATTTTGTGTAGGTGAATTATTTATTTTTCTACAAGGGAATAGCTATGACATTATATTGTATATCAACCATCTTTGCTAAATACTCAGCACTGATGATTATAGAATCGGAGAAGGCACTGATCATTTTGTAGAACACCTTACTAACTTTGCTATGACCACAGACTAAATTCATTATGGTATTTATATATACAAGTGCTTAATTTCCTAGTTAAATCTAGTTCAAATACCCCGCTTGGATGTATTTGTTGACATTTTTCAATTCAAGATAGTATAACCTGTGTCAATAATTTTAAATTTATTAATTTAAGTTATTTGATTCATTAATAAGCTGCATGCTTACAAGTAAAAAGGAAATAAAAATAAATAGTGTAAGAATATGACATGGTGAGTATTTAAAATACCAAAACTAGCAAATAAAAATGTTTCGCCTAAAGGCGTTTTCATCGTAATACTGTAGTTGGCTAAATAAGGTCGTGAGTTCGATCCTACTAAAGTCTTACGCCCTGATGTGTCAAGACTTAACACAGCTGGCCATGTAATTTTGCTTTAAACAAATGATCCTGGTTAAATACGGATATCTTTGTCAGTAACAAAGACACACAAATTTTCCTCTCCATTCTATTATCATCTTGTATTTACATTCAGCTTGAAATACTTATATACAATTAACATCACGGCATTTTTAAAGCAGTTTTAAGATTTTATCATAGAGTCCGAAATATAATTGACTAAGCCTAACAATTAAACAATTAAACTGTGTTAATAATATTTGAACTCAGTTTCACGGAAGAAGAATGCACAGATTGCCTTTAGTGGTCAGGGGCGAATGGGGAGCGAAGAAAGCGAAAGCAACGGTCAAGTTGAAGCATCCAATACGCAAAATATGCTTCTGCTGGAACCCCGGGGTGCCAACTTGTGACAACCAGGAGGACTGTATGATCACGGTCAAGAAAATGCAGAGTGACCACATGAAAATGGGACTGATGGACATACACTACAAGTAGGTGAGCAAGTATGCACGAGTGAGTAAAAGAGGGACTTTACTAACAAACGCAGATATATGAGGATCGAAAGAAAGGCTTTTTGGCAGATCCATCCGTATGTGAACTTGAGAATTACACAAGTCTAATTTGACATGACGAATCATGCAAATAAGTTGTATATTTCACTTTATTCTAGTAGCTCTACCCACACTCAACAAGAGGGAGGGGAGTGGTAACAGAGCAGAATAAAATGGTTCGTCCTTTAAATTAACTTGTGAAATGTATTTCTAATATAGTCTAAAATAATGTTTTCCAAGATGACATAGTTTCAACCAACCAATGACAAGAGAGTAAAAATCAACTTTTTGCAAAACATTACTTTTTTAACAGCTAGTTTGTGTTTGATAGTTGAAGCACTGTTAAATTGAATACCCTCTATTACCCCAGATTGCCCAGAATACCCCAGATTGCCTGTGGTGGCTAGTCAATTAAGGATGCTTAATCGTTCTTAATAAGCATTCGTTAACCTATCTAGAAAAATCTTAAATAAAAAATATCCTTTACAAAGTTAAATTCAAGGCACTGAGCCTAAGACATTCACCGAGAATCCAAAAAAATCAACCAAAAGGAAACTATCGATTGTATTATCATAATGTGACCCTCGCTCCCACTTTTGTTCAGTCTCAAGGTGTTGAAAGGTTAATGGTCAGGCTAGAGAATATATACTATTTAAAACTATCGTATTGTGTAGATTGCAATTTTTAGTAGGGAAGATGATTAATCAAAATTTGCATTAGGTATAACAAATCAATTATCATTATGTTATCAGTTTTATAGTTGGTGGTGATGGACTGATCTATGAGGGTAGAGGGTGGCGCGTGAGGTCTGCTAAGTCAAGAAATACACCTAAGACGCACGGTCTTAGACTGGACATCGGCTATATAGGGAATGAAAAAGGTAAGTGGTGGGAAGAAAGGAAAGGATAATAAGGTTTTGATAGGTTTGAGGGTTAAAAAATTAAACGGGTTTTGTGTTGGTTTGTGTCTACACCAGTTGCCATAGCCATAACCATGTAGGAATCTCAAACTTTCTGGTCAAAGTCCTTACCACTGTCTGTAAATGCTGGGAATCGGACCAAAGCTCCAATCTATAACCACTAATTACAACACGCTCATTTCCACCCATACTCACTTTAGATTGTTTGCTATTTTATTTTTATTTTTCATAGTAGAGGGAAGGTACATGTCGAACTGGAAAAGATAAAAAGTTTGCGGTGTCTAAAGTATGGGGATTAGAGGGAATACAGCTAGAGTGTTGTAGGTTGGGCAAGGTTACAAAATTGTTATTTTAAGTATAAGGTTGTTGCAAAATATATTAAAGAAAATGTTAAAACAAATAGAACGTAGACAAAAGATTTAAAATATCGTTTGATGTTAGAAAGTTATACGAAAAGAGAGGGTGACCAAGGTATGGACTTGGAAAGTAAGGAAAACATTTTATACAGAATATTAGTTCAGTTTTGTAATGTATGTAAATGCCAAAGAATGTAAGCATTCCATATAAGTAAGGGATTTTAAGACAGAAAAATGTTTATTTAAGTAAAATTTCAGGAGGACAAGGTCCAAGGGGGAGGGGGTTGGGATCGTTTAGTTCTTCTTTTTATTAGGGAACCCCCAATTTAATAAATTGTTTAACATTAATTCACGGTTTGTTAACTACAGTACAAGGTTTTCTTGATAACATCCAGCCGTAATATATAATGATCTAATAAGATTTAATGAAGGATGAGGGTACTTATTCTAACTGCCCCGATAGTAAACAATGTAAATAGTTACACTTTTTTCAGTGGATCCGTTTCAACCACCCCACAAGCAATGTCCGCCTGCACTTAAGCTCATACACTACGGCGTCAACTACAAGTTCATCGTGCCCATATATGACGTGTTTAAAGATTCAAAACCTATAGAACACACTCCTAGTCCTGATGACGACATTAATCTTTTATAGAGGGTGAAAACTTGATCTAACATTTGCTCTCGGTTTGTTCACACTGGGAAGTTACATAGTTAATTTACCGAATGATCGTAATTGTTGACCATCAATGCTGACTGTAGATAAGTTAAAGCTTTGAGAAGGTGAGAAGTTAATGTGCTGTATTTATGGTTTAGAGATGATTCCAGCTGTCCTTGGTCGTTAGGCTGGTAATAAATGATTTTTGTTTTTAATTCTGGTTAAACAAAAATAAGGTCTTAGTATACAAACTATTCAAATAATTCAACTCCACTTTATATATTTTAAATATGTTCACCTTACTTGCACGTTTGGCATAAAACATCACCAAATTCCGTTTGGTAATAGTGACAATAATTTGATAAGGTGCATCACAACATTGAATAGAACATTAAAAAGTATTGAGGTATTAAATCCTTCTCTGACATAAACATGTTAAAAAGTTGTTTAGATCCATAGCAATGATCAAGTCCATAATTTTCTGACTGATCTTGGAAAATGATATACGTAACAGTACCTTTATTCTTAGTAATCTTTGTTTTAACATGTTTAAAAGTTGTTTAGATCCATAGCAATGATCAAGTCCATAATTTTCTGACTGATCTTGGAAAATGATATACGTAACAGTACCTTTATTCTTAGTAATCTTTGTATTATTACAATTGACCAACGGATTAGTATACTAACTCAGAATTCTTGCTTTTAAAGCATCAAATTTATTATTCTAGGAAATTAAGACCTGATCCTAGTAAGTAGTTGCACTCATCATAATTCGTTTCCGTATAATTACTTTTTTATTCCAATGTCAAATGTTAAATCTAGTTTTCACCCGAAGGAGTATAAATTATGTTATATTTGTAAATTGTACCAATGAAGTGTAATAAATTTAGTTTGCAATAAATGTGCATGATTTGATTTACTTTTACCTTATCTTCTATTTTAAACAAAAACTTTGCAAAACTTATGACAGCTATCCTGACAATACATACTACTGGACCGAATTACAGGTTATCTTAAAGATTACAGGTTATGGCGGGTTGTACCAAAATAAAGGTTATCGGTCCTATGCAGGTCTTATATGTATTTTGAAAATATTTTGATTAATTGGGTCGATAATGGAAATTTATTTTTCTTATGGAGATTTAGCATGAGGCTAATTCTATAGCCATATTAATATACACGCATGTTTATTGACATTTTTTACAGCTTCTGTTCACTGCAGGAAAATGTTACGCATACTATTAGAGAGATATTTGCCTGTAAAAGTGCAGAATTCCTTTATAAAAAAAAGGAAGAGCACAAGAAATTAATTTAAAATTTCAAAAAAAATTATCACGGGCCTTATGGGTTGCCTTAATTGGCCTAACATGGATTGGTGACTAAATAATAACAAAATATAAACAGAAAATTAAAATAAATGGAAGAAATTCCAATAACATGTTTTATTGACAGCGTGGGGTGAAAATAAGGAAGTTTGCACAATACATACTATTGGTCGAGTTTTCGATCACGATTGTGTGAATGGCGAGCCATAGTGTATAAACTAATAATTTCATGCCTTAAATCTTTTTTTATTTTAATTGGTGTAAGTTTATACCTTGTAAACTTTTTAAGGTTAATAAAAATTGCAGATGGTCTCTAGAATTATTTTAATTTTGTTTCACTACTAAAAGAATACGAAGACTAATAGGCAGCTTTTGGTTTGAATCTAATTTTCACAACAAATTAGATTATACACATCATCATTTTAACAGGAATCGTTATGTGCAATGCACAGATAAGGAATTATATTTCTTATTCGTTTGATAACATTTGACTATGTAGCTGGTAAAGTAACTAGAACATGCAGCTAATATCAAATAATGGCATATGTATAATTCAATTAAGGTATACAAAACTCATAAAGGCTTTTAATAAATAATACGTTACTTTTTGTTACATTATATTCTCCCCTTTACTTTAGCTCACTACTTTTTTCTCTCCTTTACTGTAAAGAACCAACACGTTATCACATATCTATATTTGGTTTATCAAATAGTCGATTAAAACTCAAATTGTATGTTCCTATAGTTTGATAACAATAATAGAATGGTACAATTGAGATAACAACTAGTATTGTATCTACATCTTCATAGTAAATTAGCGATATAATACATTGTGATACAAATAATTGTGAAACTTTACACAATTTCGTAGAAAATGACTTCGCTTATAATAAATTTACACGTTCTATTTCTGCCTGCCTGTGTCCAAGCTTTTTCAAGCTAAGTGATTTTTTGTTGTTGTGAAAAGACATTTAAGCCCTTTTTCGGATTATTGTGATAGTTATAAATTCGTAAGTATAGAACGGATTGAAATCTTCTGCAGTTTATTTTAAAATTGGTTAGGTTAATCTTAAAACGTTGTAAATCTTAAAACTTAAATGATGTTCAGCAAAACTTAACAACACCAAACATCAATATTCTTAAATATCTCTTCGGACGTTGGATGATTGCAAAATTAATATCAAGATAGATTACTAATTAGTAAACTAATGTTTATTTCTTTATTCGAAGTGCAGTTATTAGCTTATTTATTGGAATACACGTGCTTTTGTTTTGCATACAAGTGCTACAGCTTGCATGTGCTGTACCGGTTCACACTTCAATATTCTTAATAAATTCCACTCACTGGAATGAGGACCATGTTGTCGCAAATTCAATGTTGAAACAACTTTCAATAAAAAAAACCTACTTATGTTTATTGTTCTATAATACGCAGCCATTAATGGTTCATCTTTCCCTCCCTCTCTATGAATTATTTCATTTATTTTTAATCATCAATCGCATAAGGGTGTGTGTCGCACTTTCGGATCAAATTCCAGGAAACGATCTTTAAAACCGTGTGAACTACTTTTGTAGAAACCTAAATTTTGTGTAACAATTCCATTGGCGTATAATCAACATACAACCTTGTTTGGTGTTTTAAACCAAATGTAGTGTAAATGGAAATAGTTATTGCTTGCAAAACGAGATATGTGTGAAACGAGAGGCGTTGTAAAAGTGTTAGGCCCTACCAACACTATACTATAATGTTGTTAGTTTTGACTGTATACTTGCCTATTGGCAAGTACTTGGTGTTGACCTAGTGGTTGGTGTGGGTGTAACTTTTCTAGTAGTTGTATTGGGACATTGTGTTCTGAAGATTTAGGTTCGCTACCCACTTGCCATGTCGAAACCCCATGACTGTATGATCTGGAGCACAGCTTAAACTGTCTGATGGAAAAAGATTAGCATCTGTTCTGTAGTAAGGAATCCCCATTTTCTCTTGCAAAACTCCCTCTAGAAACTTGACTTCATTTCGACTTATTTTCTTGCACTCCTTGGAACAGCATAGGACCTTGACGAACATTGTCCAGTGGTCCCTCTAGAAAAATGTATCTTTATTTGAATACCGTGAATTAATTAAGATATAACTTTACACAGGATATCATGGACGAGTACGGGTTCAACATAATCATTCGACCAGAATGGAACGCTAAGATGGCCAAGGGATATGAGAGTCCGGCCTACCCCGTGCCCTACGTCGTAGTCTACTACAACACAGAGACTGAGAAATGTACCAATCGAGAGGAGTGTTCTAAGATCATTAATGAACTGCAGGCTTTCCACCAAAAACTGGGCCTGTCAGACATACACTTCAAGTAGGTATCGTAAAACATCAACGAGATTATAGAAAACAATCAGTGATAGGGGCCCGCGTGTTATCTCCTTGTGGCCTTTGAGAATCGTAAAAGGCTGTTTCTGTTATATTTTTGTAGTAACTTTAGAGTGACAGTTTTCGTAGTAATATCAGGGTAGAGTGTGTGGCTGTCAGTTACTGACCTCCAGTTACTTACTTACTGACTTCAACTGATATGGCAAACTAAATTGACAACTTGCTGCAAACTATAGCAGATTTTATGGTATATCAATTAACTATCAGAGGATCAAAAACTAATATAAATACAGGTTTTTACTTTAGTATAGTCTGAAAACCAGACAAAAGATATGCTCTTTCGAGTTTATCGTTTAATTTTCTTAAAATTTAAATTAAACCAGGTTCACATGCATTTTACAATTCAAATCTAAGTGGATTATAAGCCCCTGCACTGCACTTACTCCAATGGAAGGGTAAGATTAATACAGTTTGATACAACAAAGAAGCCCCGTTTCCTTTTTCAACTAAGCGCAGCCTCGCTTCGAGAATTCCCCGCCAAGCATGAGGAGACTTAATCTTAATTCATAGTTCTCAAATACAGGTATGATATTGTACTTGGTGTGTAGTTTCCTGATTGGCGGTGATGGGATGGTGTACGAAGGCCGAGGATGGTTTCGTAAACCTTCAAAGTGCGTCCGAAACCATGACTTTGACGATCAGAACCTCGCAATAGCGTACGTTGGAGACTGGAACAGTAAGTAACTAAATGAAATGTTTATTTTACCATCAAGTACGAACAAATTCTTCTAATCGATTAGTGAACCATGTGGTAATTTTACTGGTGTTACAATGTCTACAGTATCCTACCATAGTGTAAGATTGTGAAAGCTGGAGGCTTAAAACGTAAAGTAAGAAACTATATTCTTACCATACAATAATAGATCGGAAACATTGTTACTATTATAAATCGGTATATACAACTTCAGTATATGTGCCAATGTTTGTTGTTTTTAATAAAGCTTAATATTTAAGCCAAGACAACGCCAAGAATGGGCTTTTTCTGTCCTGAAAGTGCAGGTTTTCACTGGGGGCGACTTATAAGACTACTCTCCGGTTTACAAAACACCCGATACCAAACAAAAGCCGTACGTTAACTAAGAATTAACACTGTTTACCAAATCGCTTATTGTAGCTTAAAAGTGCAAAGGACTTATTTTCTTGGTCTATTTTAATTTGGTTGTCAAAATTATACTTATAAATCATATACCTAATTGGAAAATGTAATTCGAAAATTAGAGCGTTGCTGAATTGTTAAAAAATATTTAATTTAATATGTTTGTACAAGTTTTTATAACGTGATTTTTGTGCAAGTTCATTTGCTATGTCATAGATACTTCAATACCAGAAAATATGAAGCTGTCCTTCGATCGACTGGTCGAAATTCACGTGAGAAGAAAAATGTTAGCTCAAAACTACAAGCTATTCGAATTGAAAGATCCATTGCCACTGTACTCCAACCCTAAGTCTACAGCTTGACAAGCAGACGGAAACTTTATGTGGTAAGGGACCGAGAAACGAAAAGTGACGAAACTGTATCAAGTAATACTTTGGAGTGGAAAAGTTAAGTTCTTATTTGAAGTTAAATTTACTAGAACTTATTGAAGTATACAAAAAAATTATGTTTGTTACTTTCTTAAAAAAGTGCAAGTTTTTGCTCTGGCTCTATTAAGAAACTAAATAAAACTCCTTTTTTTTAACAAACGTAATCCATCTGGTTTTTTTTTCTCTATCACCATAGGTACCAACTCTAAAGACGTAAATATAGCATATCTAGATATGAAAAACACCTATGAGTATGCAAGTACTAAGGTGTTTTTTTTCACAGAGAGTTCACAAATAACGCACCTAGTTAGTAATTAATTGAAGTATCTTAGATACAGTTGCGTATTTTTCGTTTGCGGTCCTCAGATTATTGTTTTGTTCCACATCAAACCTATGTTTCAGGAATGCCTGTCCCGGATATAATGAAAACCTCGCTAGTGAGACTTGTGAGGCTTGGAACACACAGAACATTGATAGCTGAGAACCACCAAGTTATTGTTGAGATGGACGGGATTCCTCTGATAGGAGGATATAAGAGAACCAAGGGGTTCAGGAGGAAGCACAGGGGAGGATACGGTTTAGGGTTTGGCTTGACGTACAATGCCAAAGAGGCCAAGTTTGGGAGGGTACTTAAATGACAAAGCTGTTTTGTTAGTTTTAGTTATTTATGAACACAAACAACTGTTAGTTTACCTCAATCTTAGTGGTTTTAGGTGCAAACTTTAATTAAGATACAGTACAAAGGACTGCTCGTCTGTTATATGTGGCTCCAAATGTATGTGAATACTCCTACCTAGATACTTACTAAGTAGGCTTATGTGTTGTTACACCATAATTAATTGTGAACGATTATCTTGTATTGCAATGTATATTCACATTAAAGTTCAGTAAATATAAAGTGGAATTGATTTAACAACCGTGACGTACTAGTATACACTTAATTTGTATCCAGGGTTTTTGATAAAATCTAATAAATAAAATTACTTAGGATTATTAAACAAATTTAATCAATTTTGATGTATTTAATTTTGATTGAGGTTTTATTTTAAAATATCCTATAAGTTTGTACATTTTCTATCAGTTAAAATTGTATTGTCTAATAAAAAATAATACGTGGCAAGTTTTGGAATATTAAACTATTTTAAAATTATTATGGTCAGAAATGTTTTTAAGGCCTAAACCTACCTTTAATTTTCTTTAAAGATGTTTTAACAAATGGTTACCTAATGATATAACAAATTGTATCATATATCATTCGACCTGGCTGAAACGTGAGCTCAGGTCGAAAAAGAGTTAAAGTTACAAGCATAAAGATGCTCCTGTGATGATATATACTTTTTTCTATTCTTTTCAACTGATAAATTATATTAATTCCTGAATCTGAAAATCTTTAGTAACCCATGTGTTCACACAATCACTTCAAGTTAATATTTACGTTAGTTATTATCAACGTTAAGTTTGTTTGTAATTTCAACTTCAATTCAACTGTAATTTCATGCAACGTAAATGTTTTGCTAATAATACAAGTTCAGATGATAATAACAAAGGTGACGCCTAGCGGCATGGTTTATGTTCTTTGTAGAAAAACAACCATTCTGCTTTCACTTTATACTATGTAAACAAATATTGGAAAAACTATATTCTCTTGTTTGACTACTCCTTTGTGAATAATTATTTATTTTTTAATGCCAACGCATAGATACAGTACACTTTTTATTAAGATTTGCATTTCCCACCTGCCCGTAAAATAGAGTTTAGAATATATTTCAACAACTACATACAAATATGTCTAATATGTACAAGAAATATCTAATATGTCTCTCGAAACACATATTTACACTTACAGCTCACAAGACGGTGGTTTATGCATAATAAAGATGGTAAGTGGTTATCGATTTCGATTTGACACTCTAATCATAGGACAGAATCAATAAGCGAATGATAAAGGTCTACGGAGAAAGACATGCGCTTACTGGGTCTGATTGTTATTGGACAGTATCATTTGATTTGTGTGTGTTCACATTCTCCGCTTTGTATGATGGAACCTATTTCCTGAACCTCAATCTACCAAAGGACTTTCCAATGGTTGAAGGCACAGGCCAGACCTAGGTAGACCTTGGCTTAGGGGCAGGAGACAGGTTCCATCATATAGATTTGTAATATATAATCAATGCTTAAGAGGACTAGATTGTTTTAACGGTGTTGGCTGCACTGTACCAATGCCGTGACGTCATTGCTACCTCCCAGATTGCCGGCTGAACGGCTGTCTAACGTCATCCACGCTAAAGGTTAGTCATGTTCTATGTTGTGCGTTATACCTAAAAGTAGTGCCGTTCTTTATCTATTTCATTGGCGCAGTCGGTAATTACAAATTTCTTTCTATGGATTAAAAAGTAAAAATCTTTTCCGCGAGTGTTAATGGGAGACAAAAAGGACAAAGGAAAAGGATCTACTGTGACGAAAATGTCAGGTATTGGGAAGGTGGGAGAGTTTAATCCCCATGAGGAAGCCATTGAGTCATATTTAATGCGTCTCAAACACTATTTCAAGGCCAATAGTATTGAAGATGGTAGTAAAGTTTCAGTGTTGATTACTGTTCTGGGCCCTAAAATATTAGCAGTTTTGTCAGATATTGTGTCTCCTGATGAGGTGGATAGTAAATCTTATGAAGATTTGTCAAAAGTATTGGTCAAACATTTTTCCCCAAAGAAGTTAGTAGTGGCGGAACGATACATGTTTTATTCCAGGGTACAAAAGCCTACCGAAACTATTTCTGAATTTGTTGTAGCTATCAAGCATTTGTCTAGTACTTGTAAATTTTCTACACTTCTGAAAGATGCCCTTAGGGACAAATTGATTTCTGGAATTAATAATGAGGTGATACGACAAAAATTGTTGTCTGAAGACTTAGATTTTGAAGAAGCTCAGGCTTTGGCTCTCAGGCTGGAACAAGCAGAGAAGCAAACAGGTCTTTTCAGTTCGAAACAGGATGTTAACAGTTTGAGTATGAAACGTGGTAAAAATGTTTTACCTGCTAGCTCTTTTAATAAATCCAATGTAAATGGTTATTTTAAACCAAATATGGGGTTTAATGGGAAAAATAAGTGTTACAGGTGTAATTCAGTGGAACATAAAGCTAATGATTGTCCATATTCTAGTTACAAGTGCAATGCATGCAGTATGGTTGGGCATTTGTTCAAGGCTTGCAAGTCCCGAAATAAATTTAACAAGCAGAATTCAAAGTCCAAGAGTGGAAGATTTGCCCCACACAAGGTGCATCTTAATTTGGAAGAGGAGGACCCTAGGCCTAGGCCTAACTTGGATATAGTCAAGGAGACTCGGGACTTGTGTTTGTACAATCTAGGCCTATCTAACGGTACAGAAGCTTACAAGGTAAGACTAATGATAGAAGATGTAGTTGTAGAAATGGAAATTGATAGTGGATCAGCAGTATCCGTGTGCCCGTCTGAGGTTTTTGCGGACAAATTTCCTAATATGGAATTAAATCATGTAAATTTGAGTTTATTGACATACACTGGTGGGGAGGTGCCTGTGCTAGGCCAAGCTGATGTGACCGTAAAATATAAAGGTCAAGAAGTTATGTTGCCCTTATTGGTTGTGAAAATGTGTCGTAGGAACCAGCCTATGTTGTTGGGAAGGAGCTGGTTGGCCAAGTTGAAACTTGATTGGCGTTCTATTTTTTCAGTAGTATCGGAAGTAGGCCTACAGAGTAGGCCTAGTAATCAAATTAATTTGACTTTGTCTGAGCCTAACCCTGTGAGTAGTGTATCAGGACCTAGTTGTAAGGATCAACTGAGTAGGCCTAAGCTTAGCAGTACAACTGAAGTTGATGTGCAAACGTTGAAAAATAAATATGCTATGGTATTTCAAACGGGAGCTGGAGAAATTAAAGGGGTTACTGCTCACATTATTCTTAAAGACAATGTAGTTCCCAAGTTTTGTAAATATAGGCCAGTGCCTTATAGTTTGAGGGAGAAGGTTGAACAAGAGTTAGACCGAATGGTTAACGATGGAATAGCCTATAGGGTTTCCAGCTCCGAGTGGGCTACACCGTTGGTGACGGTTCCTAAACCAAATGGCGTAAGATTGTGCGCCGATTTTAAGGTAACGTTAAATCCGGTGCTGCAAACAGAGCACTATCCGCTTCCGCAACCGGAAGATATTTTTGCCTCGTTGTCAGGATGTACATACTTTTCAGTAATCGACCTCACAAATGCCTATCAGCAGTTAGCAGTAGCAGAGGAGTCACAACCTTTGTTAACCTTGACTACCCATAAAGGACTTTTTAGATTGAGACGTTTGCCGTATGGGTTGTCGTCCGCACCGGCTATTTTTCAAGCAGTCATTGATCAGATTGTATGTGGGTTACCGGGTACTGTAGCGTACTTGGACGATGTTCTAGTGGGAGGCACAACACGTGAAGAAGCTTGTAGTAGATTAGAAAATCTGTTTCAGCGTCTGATGGATTATGGAGTTCGGGTTAACGAGAGCAAGTGTAAATTTTTGCAGCCTAAGGTTGAGTATTTAGGCTATGTGGTTTCAGCAACGGGAATCAGCCCCCAGCAAGGGATTGTGTCGGCTATTCGAAATACCCCGGAACCGAGAAACAAGGATGAGTTAAGGGCCTACATTGGTTTGATTAATTACTATGGAAAGTTTATTTACAATTTGTCATCAAAAATCAGTTGTTTTTATGATCTTTTGAAGAAGGACGTCCCATGGAAGTGGACCAAAGAGTGTTCACGCACTTTTGAGGAAAGTAAGTCATGGGTTCTTGACTCCAATATTTTGGTGCATTATGATGTGTCTAAGCCACTTGTTTTAACGTGTGATGCTAGCCCTAGGGGAGTGTCAGCCATTCTGTCTCATATGGTCGATGGAGAAGAGCGGCCTGTAGCTTTTGCGTCCAAAACTCTTAGCCCTAGTGAGAAAAATTATTCCCAACTACACAAGGAAGCGTTGGCGTTGATATTCGGTGTAAAGAAATTCCACAAGTATATTTATGGTCGTAAGAACTGTGTGTTACAGACGGATCATCAGCCGGTAGCGGCAATTTTTGGAACAAAACGTGGTGTACCTAGCCTAGCTGCGGCAAGACTTCAGCGATGGGCTCTCATTCTGGCAGCATACAATTTTGAGGTTAAATATCGAAAAGGGGTTGACTTACCCCACGCTGATGCGTTATCACGTCTACCTCTACAAGACGATGAATCGTTGGAATTGGAGGATAATTATGTTTCACATGTTGAGTCTTGTGTTCAAGTAATCAATTTCTGCAGTGTGAGTGATGATTCTCCGATTACGTCTTTGGACGTAGGAAGATTGACGGATAAAGATCCATTGTTGTCGAGGGTTCGGGACTTTGTTTTACATGGCTGGCGGGAGGTTCAAAATCCTATGTTGCTTCCATTTCAGAGGAGACGATTGGAGTTGTCAGTGGACAAGAATTGTATCTTGTGGGGAAGTCGGGTGGTGATTCCTGAGATGTTGAGGGAGAAAGTTATCCAGATGCTCCATGAACAGCATCCTGGTATAACCCGGATGAAGTTGTTGGCTAGAAGCTACGTGTGGTGGCCAGGTATCGAAAAATCCATTGAGGAGACAGTGGCGTCTTGTTTTGTATGTCAAGGCACGAGAAATGCCAGTCCTAGAGTTCCATTGCATCAATGGCCGTTAGCCACGGAGAGGTGGCGCAGAGTTCACATTGATTTTGCAGAAGATCCCACGTCAAGACAGCAGATGCTCATCCTAGTCGATAGTTACTCAAAGTGGATTGAGGTGTTTCTGATGAGCTCTACATCTTCCTCCAAGACTATAGAGAAGCTTCGGACTTTGTTTGCAGCCTATGGTTTGCCCGAAGAATTGGTTTCTGATAATGGTACCTCATTCACTAGTCTCGAATTCCGTGAATTCCTCAGGAAGAATGGTGTCAAATTCACCCTGTCCCCACCCTATCACCCGGCATCCAACGGAGCCGCAGAACGTTCAGTTCAGGAAGTCAAGAAGAGTCTGCTGCGCCAGGTCTTGAGTGAGAAGCGCAGTCAGCCTACTTCTTTACAGC